AGCCACAAAAATCCCTGCTGATATTATATTTGCAAGAACCGACAACTACCCCCCACTTTCCCAAAAATTATTACATCCAGAGCATCTAACATGAATTATGAATGCTTGTGTTTCAAAATAGACAGCGGCATATTTTAGCAAAGCATAGAATGTAAGTCAATTTGACCAACATAACAGCAGTCTTACGAAGGCAAAACAAGCGAAAGTCATAGACCATTGAAATTTGGAAAGCTGAACACTGATGGTCAGCATATACTACCAAATAAGTACTTTATAAGCTGTAATAAATAATAGGGTTTAATACATCAGTAAGTTCCTAAACTTTTTAGCTATTTTTATTTAGATTTCTAAATTTTAAAATTTGTAATCAGGTCCTTGATTTTCTACCACTTTTGTAATTGAGTCCCCGGAGTTAAGTTGTGACAGCTTGCTACCGCTGCAAAAATAATAATTTGCAACAGTTTTACTAACTCTAGAGGCTAAATTACAAAAATTGTAGAAGCTTAAGGACCTAAGTAAAAACTTTTTTTTTATAAATTTAGTGACCTAATTAAAAATTCTTAAAATGTACCGACTTACCAATGTATTAAACCTTGGTAGTAATTTTGCATAGTCACAATTTTTCCTCCAGTTTTTACCTTTTTCTCTAAATTGAAATTAATTATCAAGGATTTCACTTGTCTTTCACAGTTATCTGGAAAGATTGACCATTCAAAGAAACAATAAATGCTGATGAAGCAGAATGTTAATGCGTTTAACCTATAGTTACATAGCCTCTGGGTAATTACTTTTCTCACCCACCACAGGCAAAATAAAAGAGCATGAGAACAAAAAAAAAAAAGAGAACGTTAAGAAAGCACACACTTCATAGGACAGCCGACCACTGTACTTTAGTCACAAATGTTTGAGAATGATGAATTAACATGTTTTAAGAATGATGAATGTTCTTCAACATCAATGTGTGAGAGAACAGAAATGTCCACGAAGAACAAAAAAAGCAATAATATATATAATTGCCCGGTAACTGCAAAAGAATAGAAGAAATGAAAGTCTATCAACAAGATAGTCCTAGACAAAAACATTTCATACAATCTAAAAAACAATAACAAACCAACATGGTTATAGATGTCAGAATTATTAAGAAATGTCAAACCAGTCATGTCTATCTTGCCCCTATTTAACTTGGAAGCATGCAAACACAGTCCTCTGAAATGCTTGACTCGGGATGTTAATTCCTAAAGGGAATCATTTGGAATTTCTTGATGAGGAAAATCCAAAAGGAACCTTAGTTTTCTATTGGTGTTTGTTGATATGCCAAATTTTCAAAGGAAAAAAGGTTATAAAGTTTTCAAGCTACCAAAGCGATCTCTCTGTCGTTTTGTTTGTTACATAAAAACTTTTGAATTAGCAATTGATTTGATAAGTATGAGCACCAAATTTTCAGCTATAGTATCTCAAACAGAAAAAGTTATTTACAATTTAATAACTGTAAACAACAGTATAAATTCACATTGACAGACAGTTTCACGTTTGGCAATATTTTTCCGTTGATTGCCACTGTTTTTAGGAAAGGTGAAAAAAATTACGCAAAAATAATAATTTTGGTGCCACATCTGAACTTTTGGTTTTAGTTTGGTCCTCTATGTTTAAAACATTTCATTTTGGTTCCTTAGAGTGTCTCTACTGGACGTAAATGGTTCTTCCGTCAATTTTTTTTTTTTGCATTATTAGTGTTAATATTAGCTAATGTAGCAAACACATATATGATATGACATCTCTTACAGTTTGCCATATGTCACTAAGTTGTTAAAAATCAGTGTGGTAATTGGTAAATTAACAGAAGGACCAACTTAGTCTAACAGGGACAACTTAAAGGATCAAAGTGAATCTTTTTAAACTTAAGGGCCAAACTAAAACCAAAAATTCAAATAAGGGACCAAAATTATATTTTAAGTTTTAATATAAGAGTTTAATGATCATATACTGTTAGTGTGATTTTTTTAAACCCTAAACCCTAAACCAATCAAAGATCACCATTGATAGAACTTTTAAAGTAATTATCGTAAAAATCAACAAACTTACCATACATAGTGATTTGTGAGTGGATGACAATGTAAATTGGTTTCCCACTATCAGTGCCTAATTTTCTTAATTTAAATATACTATCAAGATAAAGGAAAATATACACTATCATCCAATCATTCGTCACCATGTATAAGGTCAATTTGGATAAACTTCTCTAAATGCACAATCGGGGAAAAAAAAAAAGAGAGACAAATTAAAATAAACTTTTTTTATGAGCTAAAACTAACTTATTCATAGGTTAAAATTAGTTTATGGATAAAATTATTTTATTTTTCCTTCATATTTTTCTCTTTAAGAAGTATTTTTTGGAGAAGTTTACCCAAACATGCCCATAGTAAACTTGCTGATTTTTCTAATAACTACTCTATAAGTCATACTTAGAAATACTTCTAATTTCTAATTGGTTCACAGCGTAAAAAAATGACACTAAAACAAAGCATTTCAGTAAAGCCAGAATCTCTCTGCTAAGAAATCTCTAAGTAAGGCATACAAAGGATTATCGGTATTTATCATTGAAGGATAGAGGGCTCCACATAAGGGCAATTTATTCATGCATTGCACATTTCATTTCATTCACTCCTTAACTCAAACACCATCTAATGAAGCCCAAACCACGAATTCCAGAACAATTAAATGAAACGAGTTACCTTTCTGAAGACCGGGACAAGCATCTTCCCCTTCGAAAACAACAGGCACGTCCACCTTCAATTTCATTCCGTCCTCAGCCCAAACAAACACCAAATTCAGAATCTGCCCACTCTCTTCGTCCCTGTGAATCTACATTACCGAAAACCACAACTCAAAAACTCAAATCAAATATAAAAAATTATAAACATATATATATATATATAAAAAAAACCTTGATAGGTAACACGGTTCCGGATTCGAGCAAATGAGAGGATCCGGATCCGGCACGGATCTGGAGCGGGAAGCGCGTGGAGCAGAAGAAAGGCGCGTCGAGGGAGCTGAGAACGGCCTTAATCTGCTTCTTCTCGACGGTGAGCAAGTGCTTCTTCGACGCCGTTCGAGCGTCG